GGCGGGGGAGTAAAGTATAATTGCCAAAATTACAGAAAGAAGAAATACTATGATCTTTTCCCAGTAAGTCAGGTTTCATTATGGCATAATATTTTAAAATAGGCTTTGGTGCCAGACTGATTAGGATTTGAATCCTGATTTCAGCACTTACTGGTTGTGTAGCCTTGGGCAAGTTACTTCATTTCTCTCAGTTTATGTTTCTTCATTTGCAAAATGTGTAAAATATTATTTCTTAGGTGGTACCTGAATGGCTTGGGTTAAGCGTCTGACCTTTGGTTTGGGCTCAAGTCATGACCTCAGGATCCTGAGATCCAGCCCCAGGCTTCATGCTCGACAGGGAGTCTGCTTGAGGATTCTCTCTGTCCCTCCCCCTGCTTGCATGCATACTCTCTCTCTCGAAAAATACATAAAATCTTAAAAAAAATTCTTCTGGGGCTTATTACTCTTCCTTGGGTAGAAGGCCAAATTTATCATGGTCTCTATTGACATCAGCTTCTCTCCTCTCATGATACCTGGTACCTCATCATAGCATTCTTACACTCTATTTTAATTTTTTACTTTGTTGAAATTTCCTATTGAATTACCCTTACTTTCATTCAGTAATCTTTGTGAGTGTAGAATATTACCTATATTGAGTTTCCAATATCTGGAGCATAGTAAGATACTCACTAAAATTGGGGTGCCTGGGTGACTCAGTTGGTTGAGTCATTGCCTTTGGCTCAGGTCATGATCCCAGGGTCCTGAGATAGAGTCCTGCATCGGACTCTCTGCTTAGCATGGAGTCTGCTCCTCTCTCTGCCTCTGCCCATTTTGCCTGCTCATGATTTCTCTCTCTCAAATAAATAAAGAAAATCTTTTTAAAAATAAAAAAATAAATAGCTGATTAATGAAAGAAAGAACTTATTATTTTGATCTGCCAGACTTCTAAAGGTAAGGCTATTTTTATGTTATGAATACAATTTTTATGTTAATTAAACTTGGAAAATTAGTAATTCAACATTTAATGCTAGATTCTAAAATTCACCGATACAATTTATTTCTGATTCCAAGTTCCTTTTTTTTCCCCCAATAAAAAATGACTCAACTCTTTTTCTGGAGGATTAAGGGTGGTAGTATGGAGAGAAGGCTGTACTTGCAATCAAAGGTTTTAGCATTAAGTTCTAAATCTGTTATTTAGTAGCTCTGTGCTCTTGGTCAAGCTACTATGGATTTCATTTTCATGTGTAATAGACATGATATGAGTTCTCAATGGTGAGAATCAGAGAAGATAATGCATGTAAAATTTCTTTTTAAACTGTAAAAAATGTTGCATAAATTTATGTAAAGAAATTTCATTATTCTAACAGCTTTGTTCTCTGAGATTTGTGTATTAAGTTCACCTTTTCTTCTACTATACTTTCATCTTTTTTTCTTAACAATACTATATATTCAAAAATTGTTCCACTTTTAAGTTGTTGCAAATAATTTTATGTGTCATCGTTTCCTTGTTTTTTTTCTTTTTTTTAAAAATTAAAAAAATTTTTTATAAACATATAATATATTTTTAGCCCCAGGGGTACAGGTCTGTGAATTGCCAGGTTTACACACTTCACAGCACTCACCACAGCACACACACCCCCCATTGTCCATAACCACACCACCTTCTCCTGACTTTTCCTTATTTTTAAAAATTATTTAAAAATAGCACTATTGCCATTCACTGTTTCAGATTTAAATTACATGTCTCAACTTATTTATAACTCCTGGCAATGTTATTCTTAAACCAAAGAGTTGAACCTTAATTAAGAGACACATGACTACCCACAATTCCAATTATGTAACAGTCACCATACCCTTTGCATTGCATATTTCCTGAAAAAAATTTATTTTAATAAATTATTTCCCGCTCTCCCCATTTCTTCCTCTGCCTGACTTCAGGTAATCCAAATTTAGTTTCATTCTTTCAGTAGTTGAGGAGTCATATGAAAATAGATTTCTTTTAAGAATGAAGAAAATAGGAGATGGGGTACCTGGGTAGCTCAGTTAGTTAAGTGTCTGCTTTCAGCTCAGGTGATGATCCCAGAGTCCTGGGATCAAGCCCCATGTCAGGCTCCCTGCTCAGCATGGGGTCTGCTTCTCCCTCTCCTTCCTTCTGCTTTCTCTCTCTCTTACTTTCTCTTTCAAATAAATAAATAAAATCCTTAAAAAAAAAGAAAATAGGAGAATTGAGGTCATTACATTGGCAATTCAAGTGAAAAATTCTCCACTTATAACTGGTTACTTGAATATCAATTAAAATATTAGTGCTGACTTGGATAATTATCTCAACTTTCCACTTTCTTCAACTTGTCAACATCTGTCTAGGGATTTTTGTCCTGTACAACAGGATCCTTGTCATCTTATCTTTTTTATTTTTTTATTTTTTGCTTAATTTTTCGTCTGTACAAAGGTATCTAGTTTTATATTACCCTCAGGCTCAAGCTTTGATTAATCAGAAATAAGAATTTAAGTAGAGAGAGATAAAGGGCATAATGGAATTGACACAAGAATGTGATCATTACTGATAATCAAAAGAAGCAAGAAGGGCAGCCATAATTCCAGTGCTAGATGCTGGCATGCAAAAGCCCAAATTGTCTAAGAGACACTTGACCATATTGACCACTTGTTTTTTTCTTATATTCTAGCATCTTATTTTATGTGTCATAAAATAAAATTTCTTATATAGAGATGAGAAGCAAAATAAGCTCTGTTGGTTTGGAGAACATCTAGCTGCTCTAATCCATACAATGTCTTCCCTGGGTAGTTAGTAGGTAAATATGTATTGAATGAGTTAGTGAAAGTCCTCTTATCTAGCAAATTACATTTATAGATATGATTATGGAAATGCTGTTGATACATTTTTAAGAATTATCACTCATAAGAATAAAAGATCAGAGTATGTGAATACCTACAAAAGTGACACAGAAGTGAAAAAGAGCTTAAAAATTATAATTGTTGGGGCCCGTGGGTGGCTCAGTGGGTTAAACCTCTGCCTTTGGCTCAGGTCATGATCTCAGGGTCCTGGGATCAAGCCCCACATCGGACTCTCTGCTCAGCAGAGAGCCTGCTTCCCCCACTCTCTCTGCCTGCCTCTCTGCCTCCTTGTGATCTCTCTCTGTCAAATAAATAAATAAAAAATCTTTAAAAAAGTTATAATTGTTAAAAAGAGAGAATAAAAAGTAAATAAATAAAAAATAAATAAATAAAAAAGTACCTTCTGGTACTTAGTGTATTTAGTACTTAGTGTATTTTCAAAACTAATGAATGAAGGGATAAAAAACACTAAATCATGAGGCATTAGAGATACCAGAAATACAGAGCCCAAAGATACATATAAGTACTGAGGAAGACATGCTATAATTATGGTATTGTTGATTACTTATGTTAGTGATTAAGAATGGGTTCAAAAGTGAGGTCAGTAAGCCATAATCATTTCAGGGAAATTACTGATTTTTTAATCTGGTCAAAATGTGGATTCAAATAGTTGTATTTTTACTCAATGAGTTTAAATATTATATTTAAATGAAGTATTTTACCATGCAAAGTATGAAACATTTTAAAAAGTTAAAGATCTGCCCAATGTATTAGCATATGTTTATATCTTGTTCTAAAATTAGAGAAGGCTCCCTTTGTATCCACATTCATTTATGTTTATAACCTTTTTAGGTAAAAAATTGATTACATGACATTCTTCTCCATTTATTATTGCCTATTGAAATTCTCCTTTCTTTCAATGGAGTAAGCTTGAGGTTTGCTATGTTATATAGGAAAACTGGGGAAGACCTCATTTGTACAGTTGTATAAGAAGTTGTGCTTCTTCCCAAGTCTGTGTTCAATGACATCATGTTGGCATCTTGAAATTGGCCATGATGGGAATATTTACACCTTGGAAATTGCACATGCTACAAATCAGGGCTTGATTTATTATTTTGCAAAAAATGTGGTAAAGAAAATGTTAATAATGTGAATGTAAGTTAAAAGTATATTCCTTTGGGCCACCTGGGTGGCTTAGTCAGTTAAGCATCCAGCTCTTGGTCTGGGCTCAGGTCACAATCTCAGATCAGGCTCATGAAATCGAGCCCCGCGTCAGACTCAGCATTGGGCATGGAGGCTGCCTGAGATTCTCTTTCCCTGAGGCCATGGGTGTCTCAGTTGGTTAAGCAGCTGCCTTTGGCTCAGGTTATGAGCCCCGTGTCCCACTCTGTGCTCTGCTTCTTCCTTTCCCTGCTTATGTCTGATCTATCTCTCTCTCAAACAAATAAATACAATCTTTTTTTTTTAAGATTGTATTTATTTATTTGACAGAGAAAGAAAGAGCGAGAGCAGGAACACAAGCAGGAGGAGTGGGAGAGGGAGAAGCAGGCTTCTCCCTGAGCAGGGAGCCCAATGCAGGGCTTGATCCTAGGACACTGAGATCATGACCTGAGCCGAAGGCAGATGCTTAATGACTGAGCCACCCAGGCGCCCCATTATACAATCTTAATTAAAAAAAAAAAAGATTCTTTTTCTCTCTGTCTCCCTCTGCTCCCCCCCCAACTCATATGTGCGTGCACTCTCTCTCTCTCTCAAAAAGCAAAATTGTATTATGTCTCTAGCAATTATACTGTGATTAGCATAGAAGTTGAGGAAGTATTTGTCCACTCTTCAAAAATTATTTGATTCAGTACAGAAATCACAAAATTGATGAAGGAGTGAGTGAAGGTTTATCACATAAGCCATCTTGTTTCATTTTCATCTTATTAATGTAACAAAAAAAATCAACCAATATTTATGTCAGAACTACTCATTCATCAATTATATGCGTAAGCTGGCTATTATTATAAGAACTGGGCAAAAATCAACAAAATATTCTTGAGAATTACTTGATTATATGGAATTTATAATGGAAGTTACATATCTTATTTTTTGTACATTTCATGTTAAATATTAGGTTTCAATTTTTCTCGGACTGTAAGATAGAATTTTAAAATCATGTTTTTCAGATACTGACCGAGCTTTATCATTACTGGAAGAATACTGCAAAAAATTATGGAAACCAGAGGAACAACAGTTGAAAAACGCTGTTAAAAAAGTGATGGGTATCTTTAAGAGCAGCTTATTCCAAGCTTTGCTAGGTATGTATTACAAGTTTATTTATCATCTTAATGGTCAGAATGTGCTTAACAGTTTGAGTAATGACCTAATGCTAACTAAATTTAAAACTGGAATAATTTTCCTTGTAGGTGGAAAGAATGATTTTTTTTTCTTACTTAAAGCTAACCTAAAGAAGAACTGTGATGAAATAGAAAAAAAAGTGTAGGTTATTAGAAATATAAATATTGAGGGGGTACTTGGGTGGCTCAGTTAAGTGTCTGCCTTCAGCTCAGGTCATAACCCCGGGGTCCTTGGATCGAGCTCCACACTGGGCTCTCTGCTTAGCCGGGAGCATGCTTCTCCCCCTCCCTCTCCCTCTGCCTGCTGCTTCCTGTACTTGTGTGCTCTCTCTCTCTGTCAAATAGAAATAAAATCTTTAAATAAATAAATATTGGAGGAATGTTTTATATAGGAAAAAGCTTACACAGGAATAAACCTGAACAGTCAGTGGTAAAAAAAATTGAAGACAAATGCCTTCCTTTAGAGAAGGAATTGGCTAGCTCAAAAAACAATGGGCCATTTCTGTTCAGAATCATAGTTCTACTTTTACTCTCCTCTTAAGACAAAATTAAGATATTCTTTTCATGTTTTGCTTCTCTTGTGAAGGTTTATGATCCATACTGAAAAGTTTATTGGTAAGAATCTCAGTGCTCTGGGGTGCCTGGGTAGCTCAGTCAGTTAAGCAACTGCCTTTGGCTAGGGTGGCTAGGGTCATGATCCCAGAGACCTGGGATTGAGTCCTGAGTCGGGCTCCCAGCTCCGCAGGGAGCCTTCTTCTCCTGCTTCACCTTCTCCCCTGTCATGTTTTCTTTCACAAATTAAAAAAAAAATCTTAAAAAAAAAAAGAAAATCTCAATGCTTTGGAATTTTAGTCAGTTTGTCATAAATTTAACCATATAATGTCAACCTTAGTTTAATCTCTCATATTAAAAATTGTGAAGAAATTCAAGGATTTAGCTTATGTATGTGTGTCTTTATATGTATCTTTTGTATTTATGCAGATAACTTAATTCTTCACATAATATTTTGGTAGTCAAAATAAACTAGCAAAAGATATAAACAAATACCTCCCCTCAACAAAAAAACCAACTAAACAATTAAAATTATACTATACTATCTATAGTGTATATATATGTATATATATATACTATTTATACTAAAATTATACTATACTATCAATTATACTATAGCTTACTAAACTTAAACAGTACTTTTTTTTTAACAGTACATTTTAAAGATTAACTGAGTCTACTAGACATTATTACTTTCTCAGGTCTGGTGGTTTATATATAAAATATAAAAATGGGAACTTATGAGGATTAATTTTGAAAATATTTTATCTATGGTTTTATTATGTCTATACTTGTTGACAAAAACTCCAACCTTAGGGTGTGACTATAAAAAAACATTAAATTTTGAAAATTTAAAATTCATCTGTTGAATAAAAATAGAAGTAAAATGCTTTAAAGGATTGTTTTGCCTGTGGATTAATTTCTTTAAAATATTTTTCTGTGGCTGGTAAAATTTAATGACACAAATAACTATAATCATCTTAGTTGGTATTAAATAAAAACAACTCTAAATGGAGTCTTACAGAATTTAAATAAATCCTGTCATTAGAGAATAGTATTTTAGAGAACATTTTTAAGCCCCAAATTTCTCAATTAAAAGTTGATGGTTTCATCTAGTTGATAATTAGTAAAGGCTGTTAACTGAATGGCAGTATCTCTGAGTAGATTTGTGTGATGTGCTTAGTTGAGAGTGACCAAGTCTTTTGAGAGCTTGAATTTCTGAGAGCTTGATTTAGGAAGAACATTGTTGGATGCTTTAGATAATTTTACTATATTTCGGTAATGTTGCCATTTGGTATCACAATATCATTACATGGGGAATAAAAGGGCAAATGAATGACAGAGAATTGCATTTTGCCATTGTTTTGGGTGAATTATAAATATCTTGGCAAAAAGCCTATAGCATAGTTTGAATTTCTCTAACAAGATGAAAGGCAACAATAATCTGTAAAAAGCTGTTATATAAGTAATCCTGGTGTCCAGCTTTGAATGGATAGATTTGCTCTGGCTGGTCTTTAGAAGTCATTTTGGAATAAACCAGACCACAAAGAATGGAGCAACATTGTACAACAAAACATAATTTTCATTTCAATTCCATGTGTGTTGCTAAATACTGATAACTAATTTATTATTGTTGAATATTTGAGTGTTCTCACTGTTTTTCTTTAAGCACTCAAAAGAAAAACTATATAGCCCTCTGCATCCTGAAAGGGATTATATTATTATAAAAAGATAAGCAGAGAGCTATTGATAAATAGAGTATTATTTATGGTCTATAACTTCCTGTTTGGACCAACTACCTCCTACCCCACCACCTGCCCTTTTTTCTGTTACAAGTAATGGAACATAGTGGCTTTACCCATTGTTCTGATATTCAGATAGCCAGTATATTGAAGTAACACCCTTCATGAATCTCAGTTAACTAGAAATAGAAGGGAATCATAATGCAGAAAAACCAGTACAAATACATAGTAAAGTAAAATATTATTATTGCAAGATATACTGTAATATTTACATATCACTAGGCAACCAACCCTTCTCTTGAGAGATGAAAAGCATCACTTCAAAAATTAACACAGCCTCCTTCAGTGATCCTTCCATCGTGTGCCTAAAAAAAATCCCAAACACTGTTATGTCTTAGGTTGTGTAATCTGTGAGGGCAGAATTCTGACTATGTAATTTTGACCATTATTATAGTGCATTAAAGCATTTTATAAATGAGTTCTGTGATAATAGGGTGGAAGGTGATAGCAAAGATATTGTGTTTTTTAGTTTTTAAAATAGAACTTTACCTGATTACAAAAGTAATATATGTTCATTCTTTAAAAATCAAAAATAAAGTAAAAGGAGAATATAAAATTTTATGGTAGGACACATTCCTCTTATGGTAAATAGCAGGATGTATGGTAAACATAGAGAATGGTGAATACTTTGATTAACTTTCTCCCTCCTTCCTCCTACAGTTTCTGTATCCTTTGCTTTATTTCCCATTTATCAACAACTGACAGTGAAAAAAGACACTTAACTTTTAAAAAGTTAGTAATTAATGTTCATCAATGTTCAAAAACAGGAAAAATACTTAAAATAGCAATGCACATTTCGATGTTGGGCTTAGGGTGACATCTTGTGGTGAAACTAAGGAAAAAGTTTTGTCCAATGGATAATTACAGTTTTATATGATCACATTATTAATAGTACAGATTTTGAATGTAAGTGAATTGGAATTCTGTGGTATTTTACAAAATAATTTAGCTCTGTCTTATTTGGTATGGCTAAAACATTTAGATTTTCAAGATACGCTGGTTATTATTCTTCATTTAGGTAATGAAGAAGCAAGATGGAAATGTTTTTATTATTTTGAAACTTCTCTTCCAGTTCTCCTTTGAATAAAGATTTATATTACCACCATAATTATTTGTAAAAATTATTTTAATAATATAATGGGCCAGCTCATTTTCAGATATATAGCACAAATGTTCTTTATTTTTATACCTTATTGAATTTTTATTTTTTTTTTTAAAGATTTTACTTATTTGAGAGAGAGGCAGAGAGTGAGCATGAGAGGGGGAAGGTCAGAGGGAGAAGCAGACCTCCTACTGAATCAGGGAGCCCGATGAAGGACTCTATCCCAGGACCCCAGGATCATGACCTGAGCTGAAGGCAGTCACTCAACCAACTGAGCCACCCAGGCGCCCTTTATTTTTATTCTTTATTCTTTACTTATACAATTGTGGACAGAACTATGTATATATTAATGAGTTTGAACTCCTTTCAAAAATCTTGTTAATCTTGTTTCTGATTTCATTTCCTTGTATTTCTTTTTAAAATTTATTTTTTTAAATTCAATTAATTTACATGGAGTGTGTTATTAGTTTCAGAGGTAGAGGTCAGTGATTTATCAGTCTTATATAACACCCAGTGCTCATTACATCATGTGCCCTCCTTTTTTTTTTTTTTTTAAAGATTTTATTTATTTATTTGACAGAGAGAGAGATCACAAGTAGGCAGAGCAGCAGGCCGAGAGAGAGAGAGAGAGAGAGGGAGAAGCAGGCTCCCTGCTGAGCAGAGAGCCTGATGCTGGGCTTGATCACAGGACCCTGAAATCATGACCTGAACTGAAAGCAGAGACTTTAACCCACTGAGCCACCTAGGCGTCCCATCATGTGCCCTCCTTAATGCCCATCACCCAGTTACCCCGTCCCCAAATCCCCACTCCTCAGCAACTCTGAGTTTGTTTCCTATGATTAAGAGTCTTTTATGGTTTGTCTCCCTCTCTGATTTTGTCTTAGTTTATTCCCCCCACTTCCCCTATAATCCTCTGTTTTATTTCTTAAGTTCCACCTGTATACTACAACTTCTTTTTCCATTCATCTGTCAATGGACATCTGGGCTCTTTTCATATTTCCTTTTGTTTCACTGAAGTGTTTGAGGGGGACTTTTGGGGAAAGATTTAGGACAGAATGGTCAGTAAAGTGGTATTTTCCTTAAAACCTTGCCAGCAGTAAAATCTTAGAAAAATGTATATCCCTTGCATGTCAGACTTTGCGTTAGAGTAGAATACTTTCATTTCCATAAATCTTAACGTAGAACCCTATGGACTCATAGGGGTGATACAGTAGATAGAATATATATTGGAATATATTGGATATTGGGATATACAGGAGATATACTACTGTGTTGATAATTATCACCTCCTTGTTGAAGCCTTCTCTCATATCCCTATCTGATAGCAGCTTTAGCCAGTCCTTTTATTATGTCTCACAGGGTTTTTTCAGATTACTATAAAACATTTGTTGTATTGCCTTTTGATACCCCCAGTATATGGACCTTAATAATAGTAGACCTTCAATACATTTTCCTTGTTCATTTACTCAGTAATTATTTTAAAAATACCTGGTATGTATTAGACA